TCTAGGGTTGATTCTAGGGTTTTTGTATTTTTGGGGTTTTTTGGTTATTTTGGGCTTTTTTGTATTTTGGATTGGGCTTGTATTTTGTTTGGTTGAACCCTTGTTTTTTATTTCTGACTTTTGTATTGGGCTCTTATGTAACCCTATTAGGTAATGACATGTTCATTTCCTTGACCAAAAAAAGTATAATTATCTTTTTGGACTTTACAATAAGGGCAAGTTGGGCCGGTTGAAGATCGGCTTTTGTGCTTCGCAATCGGCTTTAAACTTTACGCGTTTTTTTCTTTTTTATTAATAAGAAAAGAGAAAAAAGAGAAGATTCGAACTTGAGACAACTTTGATCGTAACTTGTAACTTGACATGTTGCTGTATATGATTGAGTCTGGTTCAAAATGGAAAACAAGAACAGAAAAGAAGGGGGCATGATACTTTTATAGAATTTGCAGTATTTATGATGCTATACATTTGAGAACATTTTGGTTTTGACCATACAAATCAGTGAAATTCAACAAAAATATGAACAACTAAGACAGAGAATTAGAATCTCCATGTCCATGGTGGTCTATCAGTATAGAAGCTCTCAAGCAGTGAAGCTATATTTATATTGTACATTTTGCCTGTTTTACTGTGATGATCATCCTCTTTCATCTTTTGTCAGCAAAACTTTTCCAAACAGGATAGTGTACTGTGTATGCTTCTCCATATTCTATATTCCATGCAGCAATATTTCTGGCTTCGTGTCTATAATTCGGATTTTTTATGCTTTAGAGTTCAGCACAAACCTGGGAAATGTTAGAGATATGTCCCTGCATGTGCATATGGAAATATCAAAACTAAAATCCAAGGAAAATCACACCTGCAAACAGAAAAGGAGATGACAATTCTAAACTTTTCCAAAAACTTGAAGGCTAGTGAATCTGCATTCTAAATGCAGATGCTTGAGGTGCAAGACGAAACGGGGATGATCTAAAAAATGCAAGACTTGCTCAGCTGTGTATTTCCAAACACCAGACAAGGTTTGCAGAACGTAGGACAACATACATCAAGTATGGAAGAGTCATGTTTTTCAGTAGAGAAGGATTATCTGCTACGTATTCCTTCCACTCTTCTTCGTCAATCCTGCCATCTGCTTTTCTATATGCTTCCATGAATGTCTGTGACATTGGTATAAGAAAGTATGATCATCGAGACAGAAAATGGGGAAAGTGCAATTATCAAGTGGAGTCAAATCCATACCTTGTCCACAATCATTTCAACAATATCATATGAAAGAATCAAATCAGATTCGTTCAAAAGAGCCAGCACCATCTCCTTCAACTGTTTTTAACACAGAGGGGCTTTATGTCACTTAAAGCAGAAGTCATGAATATGAAAGATAACTAATAAGAAATTTGAACTCTCTTCGTACTATTTGTATTCAGAAAATAGTGATCGTCCACAGGGCTGATGAATGATGACCGGATCACTCTTTCAATCGTGAAAACAAAGTTAGATCAAAGACCAGAATGTAAGGTGCTGGTTCTACAATTGTCTAGCTTTCTGTAGTTCATTAAATAGTTAGCTGCTATATGAGTACCCTAATTTAGAGACAAATTTATGCATAAAAACTTGTTACTAAAAATAAACAGAACATGATGATGATTTTAGGTTATAAGTATGAGGTCTTAACTAAGCTGATTTAATTAATTTGACTTACCATTTAGCACAATCAAGAATATCTATCTGTCTTCAATAGAAAGCTAGTCCACAGGAAATGAAAAACTTGTATACCAAGATCTTTTAACTCAATGAACAATCAAGAGCAAAAAGTAAGAATCCAATGTACTTACCTCCTCACGCTCGATGTAACCGGTGTGCTTCAAATCATATAACTTAAAAGCATCTGCCACATAGATATACCCATTTTAGTGTCCCCATATGAGTTAGAAAAGTACTGTGGCAGAAGATTTCAAAGACCAGGGAATTAATATCATGAGTCTAGTTCTTACATGTAATTTTGACTGCATCAGGAGTTTTTGGGTGGAAAACACTCAAAGTTTGGACAAATTCTTCAAACTCTATATGCCCATTGTTTGTTATTGACGTAGAAAACATCAAATACCGACAAAGCATGGAAGAACATAAATTTTTTAGGAATGAGAGTCTTAATGAAATTATAGCTCTATATCATATGGAGCTTTATCCAAAACAAGGTTCTGTAAATCGAAATCGCTGCATTTCATAAAGTCTTTCCTCTGTTACATGGAAAAAAGAAAAAGAAAAATCCGGCAGTCAAAAAAAAACAAGATTAAGACCACATACCCTGTCCAAGAAGAGGTTTTTACTGCTATGTTGTCCAAGAAGAGGTTTTTACTGCTATGTTGCAAAAGTGCAAGCTGGAGCTCTTCCTATTAATCAAAATTAATCTAAAATTAGTTCAAAGCAAGACAGATTATAAATTAATACATGATTCACATAATATTCATTTCAAGAAGAACTAAAACACTAGGAGGAAATTAAGCGCACCTTGTGTATAAGCCCATCTTTAACTACAGAACTGCTGAGTTTCTTAAACAGCTCATACAAAGACTCCACCTCACTCACAGAAACTGCCAAATGCCAAAACGTAAATGGATCATCAGATTTCCACACTTGAATTTAACAAAATCAACAAAATATATTTGGTAGGGAGCAGAAAGTGTGAGCACATATGAAACCAATCAATGTTCAAATTAAACTCATAGGGGGTTTTGAAGCAAGAACAGCAGGATGCTGCAACCCAGATGCTGGTTTGGCATTTTGGCCAACTTTGGCTCTCTCTTTCTTTGAGTTGCAGCAACCTATTCAACCTTCTCCTTCTTCTTTTTTCCTGCGAGTTTCTGAACTTCAATCTTTTCTGTTGCTCCTTGTTTTGACTGGTGGAAAATCTCCTTATGGTTCTTATGGTGGATTTAAGCCAAAATTGTAGACTTATATGTGTCTTGTTTAATTAATCTATGCAAACTGTATTGTATTGGTCAAACGCATGTTGGTCTGTGCGAGTCCGAGGTTATTTGCCATTCTATTATTTGATGACATATCGGACAGAAATTTCGTTGATATAAGACATATTGCTTATTATTGTTATTTCTGAAATATAATGTTGGAAGAGATTACAAGTTCCCGTTATCTTTATCTATATATATAAAGCAAAGGGCAGAAAATGGTAAAACATTCAAAATACTAGAAAATGCCATTAGTTAATGCAAACATTAAGAATTGAAATTATTAATTAAATAAGGATAATATGGTAAATTCATATTTTTTTCATATTAAAAAAATAAGATGAAAAGAAAAATCAGATAATGAATCCTATTTTTATGAAACACGACTACCCATTAACTTTTTTAATTCTAAAATATATTTAAAAATTAAAAACAAAAGCCTCTCGCAGGCGCGGAAGCACGTGCTGAAGGGGCTAGTAAAACGAAACTATCTTTCATAACATTTTACTACTGAGACATATTGATAAGATGTAAGATTGTGAGTAGAGGCTGGGGAAATTATTTTATTCATTTAGAATCTACAACTTCCTTATCTTCCTCCCTCGGTGTCACATTACATGAGCTGGAACACGTGGCTTATCTAACTTCGTTACATCTTTCATGACGCTAATTTGGATTCCTTGGTAGAATACGGCCATTCTGTTTTCTCAAGGGAGAGCAATTTATTTTTCATAAACTTTTGAAGAGCATGGTGTGTCATGTGGTTTTCTTCCGTTGATCCAACAAAGTTTAAAAACAAATGTTGATAAATACACGACCTCTAAATGCATAGGCTCGGGTTCCATTAACCATGTTGGTCGGAATTATTGGTAAAAGGAAATAATCTTGAAAGCTACTTCCATGGAGGAAATGTCAACGTCGTCAACTATTCACTTATATACAAATTGCATGCAAATTTACAGCAGAGTCCTTTGAAGGCAAATTTCTGGCCAACATTTTTGGAATTCTGCAACATCATAACGCAAATTATCTGGCCTAGGACCTTCCAAAGCAATTAGCAAAGTCTCTGAAATTTCTAACTTGCTTGCAAGATAGTTATGCAAGCTTGCTTCATGTCTAGGGTCTCTGTATACATTTTTCAAATCTGTTTATAGTCAGGCATGGCTCTAAACAGTTTCAGAGCCTCAGAGGTACAAAATAACATTTCTGTCGTCAACTTTTTGAACCAAAGTCTATCTGATATCGAATGAAGAAATCGAGTACAATCATTTCTGTGGCCATGTCAACACTAGAATGGTGTGTGTGTCAACACAATCTGACCAAAATTACCTGCAAAGTCAGCTCAGGTAGCAACCAAGCTTCCCTGACAACAAACACAAGCGACTATGATGCCGAGGAGAGCTCCAGCTATAACCTGAGAGGGAGTGTGGCCAAGCAGTTCCTTGAGCTTATTTTGGCTGATGGGATGCCCTTCGAACAAGTACTCAACGACTATATTAAGAACCTGTGTCATCGCAGTCACAAATATTCACAAGAAAATCAAAATACAACACCGGTAAGTCAAATAACACACACACACACACACACACACCAAAAAGAGAACGGTCTTTGGCAAGTAAGGGAAACAAGTAAATAACTAAGCAACCTACCAGAACTATAACATGACTAATTGCACGATTGCTCAGAATACAGAGGATTTGCAGAATTTATAAGATGCCAGCAAAATTTAAAATTGGTTGCCATTTGGGATGAGAAGGAAAATCAACAAAGATTATGACTGCAAGGCTGCAAAATTTAGATTGTCCTCTCATTCATACAAATTTTAGCATTAATATCACCTTAGATTTGTGATTTTTTCCTAGGTTCAATTCCATGAAAATTCAGAAGTGAAAATTTTCCTAGTTATTAGACCTGACCCAATGCTACATGCCCTCCTATAAACTCTGTGACACATTAACCACAGAAGTTATAGTTTTCTCTGTTTCTTCACCTTTTAAACACCCAGAAAAGCATGAGGGACCTTCTTTATTTTTAGGATCAATGGGACCTGACACAAATTGTTAACTCTCACAACAGGCATAAATCCTATAGCACCTTGTTTAGAGAAAACTAAAAAGTACTACTCACATACATTGCACATTCAACAGGCCAGTCAGAGAGAACTATTAAACATAACTGAACTTGTGATTACAGATAGGCCTGTAACTCAAACATCAAATTAAAATGAAAGGATATGGAATTGCGCTTTGGTACTTCAGTTTCATGAATTCTCTCATGGCTCATTGCTTTCAGAAGTAAGACATTTCTGGATGAGGATAATGGGTTGTATGGCTCCATTACAATGATGCAAAATCTATCATCTACCTCATGATGTAACATTATTACTTTAAACCCCAACAACATTTAGACCAAGAGTTCCAAGTGCAATGAATGACCAACCAAACCAAGGTCTTAATCAATTAACTCTCAACCTTCCAATTTGTTAATCATATTCAACTGTCATATTACACTAATCAATCATGACAAAAGCCTGTCAATAAAACCCAGCTTACAAAACAAACATCCCGAAAGAAAAAGATTCAATAAGTTATTGATATACAAAATAGAAAGAAACCAAATTGACTTCTTACCTCTGCTTGCATACCAGCATGTCGTCGAACACCAATAGCATCATACATAACAATGAGACTGAACCCTAAACAAACAGGAAAAAGCGAGTCTGCAACACCATGACAAAGAGCCACAGAGGTCGTCAAAGCCGTGCACAACGCCGAGTGCGACGAAGGCATGCCTCCAGAAGCAAACAATATTCTAAAATCCCATTTCCTCTCCACAAAGAAATTCAACAACACCTTTGTCGACTGTGCCATAAACCACGCGAACAAGCCCGAAACAAAGGTCGGATTCGCGGCCAATTGAGCCACGAAAGGACTAATTTTTACTTTGGCATTGGATGTCACGCTTAACAAAGCAACTCCAATCCCGCTATTATGTAAAAAATCATTATTATTTTCATGTACAAAACTCTCCGTGCCTTTGTAAGCCTGTAAGAAAGAAACCCACTTCTGGGTTCGTGAAGAAGCTAAAACTCTGATGCTTTGGAGGACTGGGACCAAGAACCAGATGGGATTTAAGGGTAAGTTATGAGAATCCCATATGGATTTTGGGCGTCTGGGATTGGAAGGAGGTATATGAGAGCAAGAGATTGAAGATGTTGATTTTCTGTTGCAGTGAGAGAATCTCAAGAAGGAGAAGTGTGTTGTGGTGATGTGGAGGGGCTGTTGGGTCTGTGATGGGCTGAGCTTGAAGGAACTGAATGCGTGCTTTGTTACAACTGAGTCCATGTGAGGCCTTTGGTTTCAGTCAGCATTTCAGAGAGAGCAATTTACAGGCTTTGTGAAACGCTCTGGAAGCTTGAGAGTGGAGGAAGGCAGAATTTATGAGCTGGGGAGGACTAGTATTTATGGGATGAGAATTTGTGGTAGGGAAAAAGCCCTTTTTGGGTCATTTTAACGATTTTGCCCTTGGACATCCAAATGAGGAAGGAATATGCTTAGGGGTGGGCATTGGAACCGTAAAACCGCAAAACCGAACCAAACCAATCCGAAAAAAACCGAAAAAAACCGTGTTGACCGGAAAAGTCAAAAACCGAGTCCAATCCAAACCGAACCGGTTCAAACCGGTTCCAGTTCTGGTTTTTCACCCTAATGAACCGGTCCAATCCGAACCGGTCCAATAGAATTAATTTTTATATATTTATATATTATATATATATTTGTGAAATTTTTTTAGGCCCAAACCCAACTATTTCATTATACCAACAAAAAGCCCAAATTTCCCAAGTCCATTGCCTAAGTCCAACAAGCCATATTTTAATATCCTAATCCTATCAAATCTCACATCACTCTCTTTCTCTCACGCCCTCTCTCTCTTTTCCTCTCAGATTTCCTCAACTTACTTTTTCTTTCTTTGTTTTCTCTTCTGCTTCTTTTCCTCTCGGTTCCTCAACTTATTTTTTCTTCTTTCTTTCTTCTCTCTTCTGCTTCTTTTCCTCTCAGTTCTTTTTTCTTCTTTCCCTCTTATTATTTCTTTCTTCTCTCTTATTCTTTCTCCTCTCATTTCGTCTTTATTTTCTTTTTTTCTTCCTCTCTTTCTCTGATTTTCTATTACTCTGATTTTTTTTCTTCTTGGTTTTATGTTTCTCTCTCTCCCTCTATATCTCTTTTCTTTGCAACTCTGTTTTTGTATTTCTCTCTTCTTTTTTTTCTCTTCATTTTTTGTTTCTCTGTACATATATGTGTTCATCTTGTAGATCTGGGTGAAGTTCTTGGAGATCTGGGTTAAGTCCCAGTCCAAAGCAGGTCAGCGTCTCTTATCTCTCCAATCCCTTGTGCAGATCTGTATTTTTTTTTGGTCAACTATCCATTTTGGTGCGTTTATTTCACTTTTGGTTTCATTTGTTTCTTCTGATATGGTATTGATATTTTCTATGATTTGGGGCTGATGATGTTACTGAGGTCTGATTCTCTTCTTTTTCTTCTTTCGATTTTTTCCTGTTGTGTTTTGACATACCTGTTCTTTATTCCTGATATCATTCCTCAGTGGCATGCAAATCTTTGAACGTTGTTGTAAACTTTAGATGGGAGAGAAGCTCATTCATTATTTTTCAGAAAAAGAAAATAACATTACAACAATTGACAATTTGTTGCTCTTTGAAACAGGTACTGAAGTAGCATGGATAAAAAGAAAGACTGAAGATGTTGCAGAAAATTGAATGTGTTCTATTTCTGTAATTTGTTTGTAATTAAATTTGCTTTATTTTGTTTTGTTTTTAGGTTTTAAGTTTTATATTAATGCTTGCTATTTGTTGTTTTGTCAAAAAATTGTATTAATGCTTGATGGATTCATTCAATTTGCAGTGTGAATGTGAATTGGGCCAATCGGTAATAATTAGGCCCAAAAGGTTTTAAATATCAATTGGGCTGAAGCTTTAAAAAAATTTAAGAACAAAAAAATATTCAATTAAGTTGAAGAATCGGCCCAAACCGTAAAAACCGGAACCGAACCGGATCAAAACTGGATCGGGTTGGTCCGGTTTTGTCTGGTATTTTTGTTAAAATCCAAACCGGACCGGACCGGTGAACAGTACCGGTTTCGGTTCCAATTTTGCCTGAAAACCGGTCCAAACCGGACCGTGCCCAGGCCTAAATATGCTAGAGACTCTTTGAGAGTACATTTTCCACATTTTGGATTTTTTTGGAAATTGACATAGGCATCTCTTCCCGAACTTTTGTCGGGAGTGGTTTTTTTTTTAAATTTTTATTTTAAAAATATATAATTAATTTCTTTATTTTTGTTTTTTGCCTACTTCTTTAATTTAATACTAACCTCTCCGCACGCGCTTCCGCGCTTACGACAGGTTTTTTCTAAAAAAATTTAAATTTATTTTAGAATTAAAAAAGAGAATGGGTAGTTGTGTTCCATAAAAATAGGATCCATTATTTGAATTTTATTTTAATTTTAATTTTTAAAATATGAAAATTGTGAACTTACCATATTATCCTCATTTAATTAATAATTTCAATTCTTAATGTTTACATTAACCAATGGCATTTTCTGGTATTTTGAATGTTTCCTTTTGCTTTATATATATAGATATACAATTAAGTAATATCTTAGTCTTTTTGAATTACTTTAATTAGTAATTATACTTTATTTATTTTTTAATTTTTTTTAAAGAAATAGTATAGCCGCCCGGCTTTACTTTTTAACACGTGGCACCTAGTCGTTGGCACGCCCTTTTTCTTATATATAAATAGTATAGCCACGCGGCTATACCTTTTAAAAAGAAAATTTAATCTTGCGAATTTCGCCAGCATACACCTGTGCCGACGACATTTCGTCGATTTCTAATTTAAAAATATATAATTAGTTTCTTTACTTTTGTTTTTTGGCCTACTTTTTTTTTTTTTTTTTGTTGAGAAAAGATGGTATTTCATTCAACCGAAAAGAACATTACATGGTAAGAACTAGCATGTTAATGGCAGCCTCATTAAAACCTTCCCAGAGAAACAAAATCCCCGGGTAGGAAAGAGTATCACCCATGCTATTGACTAAACAAAAGAGTCAAATAACTTATACGAAACAAACCAACCTAAACCCCAACCACAAAACCCTTAAAACAACATCCCATCACTACATAGCTACTGTCAAAGAAGTTCTCCTATGATCTAGAAAAACCATCATAGTTCTTCATACAAAGTCAAAAATGTACTATGGGTATCAACATAGATCCAGCTAATCACCCAACCGCAAAACCATTGAAACACATCCCATCATTACGCAGATACTATCAAAGAAAGCCTCATATGATCTAAAAAAAACACATAGTTCTTCGTACATAGTCAAAAACATATTGTGAGTATCATAACAGATCTAGCCAAACACCAGCCGCCACCTCCAATTTTCTTGATCCAAAATCCCAGCTGACAAGCAAGGGACACCAAGATTGGCCTTTTAGCCTGAAGAAAATTCCGAAGAAAGATCTTCATAGTAGGAACATTCATCGGTTGCCAAGCCCACGAACGTTCCATACGAGAATTATTAGGAAGATCTTGGAGACCTCTCGAGGTTGGTCTCCTCCTCCTTGTCAACAATATCCTTGATACAAAAACTATGCTTACCTGAAAAATCCATGCCACTAACAATCAGATGCCCAACACCCGTTTTCGCACTCTTCTGATTCCTGCTTGGTGCCACATACTTGTCATCTCCTTGAGCAGAAGAGGCAGTGGCCATCTCCATATAACTAAGATGGAGACCCCTCACCAATGACTGACTCCTTGGGAACCCAAAAAGGAAGCCAACGCAGCCATCCCATGGAGAACAAAAGAGCAAAAACACGTCATACCCAATTCACCAAGATGAACCCAAATAGACAATCAGAGAAGACTAAGAGAGACGGCGCAGAAAATGAGTAAAGAAAACTGGAGAAACCCTAACCCTAACGTCAAGGCTTTCCTCGCGTGAACGAAAGAGCAACCCAAAAAGACTCACATCAACATTTGGATATTGAGGGGCTAACCCTACTTCTTTAATTTAAAATATGTAATTAAGTAATATCTTAGCCTTTTTGAATTACTTAAATATAAAAAAAAATTAAAGAAAATGTCCACAAAATAATTAATTTTTATTTATCAAGTCTTTTGTGAAATCGTTTGGGTGTCTTAATTAAATTTGTCCATAGCCCAAGAGCCCTATCCATTATTATTAGGCCATTACTCGAGTATCTATTGTCCCTTTTTTATTTTTCACTTTTTCAGAGTTATTACCCATATAAAGATTTTAGCACTTTCTTTTTTAATAATGTATTATACACGAATGCACGTATTTCTCATGTTTAATACATGTCTTTTTTACAAAAATCTCAATAAGACACACAAAATTCACGTATTATACACATAATTCTCACATATTATTGAATAAAAATAATATATATTTAAAAAATAGTATAGCTAAGGCTTTACTTTTTGACACGTGGCGCATAGGCGCTGGGTAGGTCTATATATATAAATAGTATAGCCGGTGTTGCGTAAATACAGCTGCACCAAAATGGATTCAGTTGCATCCTCAACTTGTGATACTCGCAAGTGCACGAGCCGTTCG